TTACACAACAGATTCAGAAGGGCTGAATGCCATCTTTAAAAACAAAGCTGCAGATGTTTTATATTGGTCTTGCTAGTACTGCTATTATGACTGGACTCTCTGAAATTTAGGCTGCTTGCTGGGTTCATGATTTTTTTCCGTACATTATTTTTGTAATGAAGCTATTGAAGTGATATAGCACATTTGGTTGCTGTTTTCATATTAAAAGCTTAAAATAAACAACATCTCTCAGTGAAGTTGTACCACTTTTTCTGGAGTCTTTTGTCATAATGACATGGTTACTTAAAATTTTATTTCTACTTTTTTTTTTTTTTTACATAGAAACAGAATTTAAGGCTGACTGCTTAGAACAATACTTATTCTGTGAATTTGTTTATTCTTTGCATTTCATAGCAGTACTTACAATGATAGCCTTGTATGTTTTTCAACTAGGGAGAAGGAAGTAGTAAAACTAAGGTGGCGTGTTTTTAATAAAAGAAAATTGAATGTATTATTTGCCATCTAGCAGAGCAGATACAAGGCAAGGTATAGAAATTGCTAAACATATTTAGATTTTGATTGGTTTGCAAAATGATTATAGGTTAACATATGGGCTGGATATTTAACAGTAAAACAGCCCCTTGAAAATATTAATATGTACTTCTGTGTACCTTCAGGCACTAAAAAAAATTAGACAGTCTGCCTGTAGAGAAATTAAAATACAGGTTACAGACTTCCAAAATCAGCTCATATAAAACCTGATTTCAGCTACTGATGATTTTACTGAAGCCTTGTGTTCTTCATTCGATCACCTTGGAGTGCCAGCCTAAAGTTAATCCAGAGATACTGATGCAGGACTGCTCTACAGCAGAATTACCCATAATTGCCTCAATTCCTGCTGACTGGTTATTTTTGCACCAGTGACTCAAATTAGGCACAGCTGGCCCTAGCAAGTTGGAGTTTAATAACAGCCAATTGTCAGAAACTAGCTGACGGTCAATGTTTTTGTCTCAAACGGGTGAAAGGAACAGTGACAGTTCTCCCTGCTCTCCCTCCCCTGCCGCCAGACAAGTATGTATCTACTTTCTGAAGCTGAAGAAACAGTAAATTGAGTAAGCTTCTTCATGTGGGGAAAAGTTCTTGTCCTGCTTCTGAGCAGTTGTCATAATGCTCAGATGCCCATGCTATCCACATGAATATTTGATGGGTGATAACAAAGTACGAAAAATATCTCATTCATTTTTGTACGCAGGCGTTGCACATTGACCCAATGAATCTGAAAAAGCAAAATTAGGTTTAATCAGAGAGACTTCCGACCAGAGGAGTTGGTCACTGAGATGGCAGTGAAATCTTTGCTTTTGAAATGAGACTGACCCCTTTCATAGAGCTGTTGACTGATTTTACCAAAAAAAAAGACATTGAAATCCAGAATAATGAAGTAGAAGTCCACAAATCAGCCAGAAGGAGAACCTTAACGCTGAACCAGCAGCTGTCTTTGGATCTTGCTGTCCCTTCTAGTTGCTCCTTCTAGCAGCAATGCTATGATTTTTATTTTGCATAAAATGGTATCTGATGCTTTTTTTCTTGGTAGAGATAGAATGACAATACCACTTTTGTGGCAAACTTGGAAGTACTACTTTTTGTGAGAACTTATAGTGATGATTACAGCTCTGCCAATAACAGACTGAAAAATATTTTGAGAAATCAGCTGCTGAGTAAATCCATGGATTTATGACGTCTAGTTGCAAGGCAGTGCTTCAGCTGCATTTGGTTCTAACGAAGTGTACAAGCTTTTTCAAAATTCCCTATTTAAATTCTTGCTGGCTGTATTGTAACAGAGCGTGCACACTTGTTCCTGCATATGAAAAGTTTAGATCCATTACTGTATTTGCTTCAGTGCTCACCTGTCCAATTAATATGAAGGAATCCCTTGAAGTTAATTAATGTTGCATCAAACAAGACTACTGATGATAAAAGCCAAATACCAAAATTAGCCAAAGTGGAAAAGCTATCTTTGAACAGTAACAGTGTGCATTCAAAAGCAATGTGCAGTGCCAACAGGCAGATTTAAAATAGTGTTAAGTATTTGCTACCAGAATATTTAGTGAATCAAAAGATATTTGGTGCTTATGTCTGTCTTCATTATTTTGTGAGACCTTTAAAAATCACAAATGCCAACACAGAGACATTATATCAACACATCCCCAAGGGTAAGTTGAATAAAAATTCCCTAGAGCCTATAAATCTATTTGAAGGTGATAACCTAATCACTAGTATGCCTGTCAAATCTCAAGGAAAGTGATAAGTAAAACAGTAATTCTATGAAATATGGACTTTTACTTATCTGGCTTGACCTTTCCTCCTGCTCTTTAACCTTTCTGCCCTTCAAGTCTCAAAAAATGGTTGCGTACAAAGAATAATATAATACAGACTTCTACTTGGTAAGCTGGAGATGTTGAGGACTTCAATACTGCATTGAATCTTTCACCTACTGAGGATCTGTTTGGAAGCCAACGTAATAAAATGAGCATAATGCGGTTGTATTCAATTGACCATTTGTCCTTTTGTGAAAAGAAAGGTTCCATGGGACAACAGGCCCTATATGATACTTTGAAGCTAAATTTTGGAAGTAATGTGGCCAAAAAAAAGTGAGCTAAGGTTGTACTGAGCTCTGTACTGCCCTAGTTAGCTACTTTCAACTTTGAAACTGGGTCATTCTTCTGTATTGCTCAAGTATTTCTGTGTTGCAATTCAGACAGCAATACAGAGAAGCCCAAAGAACTGAACAATAAACAATTGAATCAAGGTCAGAATAACAAGTTAGTTTGAATCACCTTTCTTTAATCAGTGTTGGTTCAGAACCTCTGGTGACCGGAGTGCATACCAGCTGTCAGTGTAAAAGCTTGACCAGTTCCCCTTAATGAGAACCCTTGTTTTTCATAGATATGCTTAATAAACATTCTGATTAAATTCATGGACCAATCAAGTATCCTAAATTATGGAAAGGATGATTAAATTTTAAAATTACCAAAATGACTGAGGGGTTAAAAAATACCTGCAGTCTTTAATGATATGACCATTTTATACAAAACTGACAATGAAAATCAAGAAATTGCACACCAAATTCAACACAAATGTATTAATTTGAAGAAAAAATATAAGACTAGAAATTTTTTTGCATTAATTAATTTCTGCTTAGTCAATAAAATAGGATATATTAATGCTTGACTGAGCAGTATTTCACATACAGAAAATGATCATATTCATTTATGCTCTCAGAGTCATAGTTTGAACAATGGTACTGTGAAATTCTACAGATTCATCTCACTATATTCATGTTATTCCCATTAATTCAGCAGGTATAGTCTTATAAAGATATGCACATAAACTCTTAAAAAACAGGGACTTTATGAAAACTAATAAATGCATTAACTGTTTTAATTTTAGCTGCTACTCAGTCTTGATTACAATAAATCCAATATACCATAAATTACATCCGTATAAGAGTATATAAAGTATTTCTTGAGTCATAAGTAATTAGAGTTGGGGGGGAGGGAATCAGGTAAAGACAGAATTTTTTGTGTGCTACAAAATCAGAGTGGAGTACATAGTTCTCTCGAAAACACATTTTGCCCTCCTGTTACCTATTTCCAGCTGAGCCACATATGGTGTTTGTTTCTTCCCCCCCCCCCCCCCCCAATTTGCAAATACTATCTATGAAACAAATAATATATTTGGGGAGCGGGACAAGCTTCTCAAGTTGTTCTGAAAATTATAATTTACAAGTTAGGTGATTGTTTAATTTGCTTCTGTCAGGAGCCTATTCTTAAGAATACTTTGTGTGAAGTTAAAATCCTACAGCTGATCTTGTTCAGCAATCAGCTTTCTTCCTACCATTTCTTTTGTCCTTTTTTCCCCAGCTCACAGTGTAATCAAATCCTTGCTAGCTCCTGTGTACAAATTCCTTGGGCTATTTCATGTATGTGTTTGTACTGATGAATTTGTTTACATAGGTCTTTGTCTTACAGAACTCCCGTTTTTACTATATTATACGAGTTACTGCTCATCGTGCTTTTCTGTAGTCAAAGCATGTCGTGGAAGCTGGTCTCAGATACCATCCAAGAGATTATGGAATGCCTTCATGTGGATTCTAGGAAATTTTCTGTTAGTTTTTTCTATGAGCTCGTCCAATCTCTCTTAGAAGCCCATAAAAGATAGCTTGTTTTTTTTGTGGGTTTTTTTTATTTGACAGGAGAAGGTGAATATATAGATTAAGGAACGATTAACCAATATCCATGTTGGAACAGCACTTGAATTATTTGAAATGTATCTGTAGATAGCTTGCCAGTTTCTGCCTTGGACTTCAGTAGGATGTAGTCTACAATGGTTGGTTTTTGTCAGGCTTCATGCTGACTTGTGAAGACATTGGAGAACAGAATAAGATGTTGCAGTGCATTTCAATTTCTGGATGCTTACTTGAACCTCCAATCATATATTTTAATGGGTTATTATTTACATGCTTGTAATGCCATAACTGAGCTATGAAAATCATATTTTCTATTCTGTGCATTGTGTATAATAGATATTCTATATCTATTAAAATGTGTGATTGCAGGAGATCACTTGATGAAGTCTAGAGAAAGATTTTTTTTTTTTTAACCTTCATCTAGGCTTGTATTTCCCTTTTCATAGAGATACTCTTTTACTTGAGAGTGTCTCTAGGCTCCAGTACAGATTTATGTAATTTTTGTTATTGGTAGGCTTCATTCTATAAGTTGTGAAATATACTTTGCTGTTTATATTACAATTTTATTATCAGTGGCTTTTAGTATATTTGGTACTCCTCTTAGTTTGCCATACCAGTCTTTGGAGTACTAAATCAAGTCTGGCAGTTATTCTTTTATCTATCAATTTGGATTTTTATTTTTTTTTTTACAGTGCACATAATATTTAGAAAATTTAAGGCTAGAAGAGACTGTCTGTGGTCATACAGTCTGACTTTCTGCTTTACTTAATTACAGAATTTCATCTACATCAAATCTCAAACTTTCGTGACTAAGCCTGGCTAGCTCTTTGAAGGGCACCAGAAGTAAGCTGTAAGGTAAGTCATAGCTGATTATTTTTGGGTCCTATACAAAACTTAAGGAGCCTTTTAAATTGGTTGCAGTCAGCTCAATATGAATCACCTGTGAGGGGAGTGTCCTTAGGCTGCTTCAGCTGGTGTTCCCCTGTGTTGGCTTTGAACTGGTTGTAATCAGCTGAATATAAACCACCTGTGAGGGGAGGAGGGTCCTCAGGCTGCTTCAGCTGGTGATTCCGTATGATGGCTTCCTGAGGGTCAGCCCTACTGAGCTTTCCTGACTAGCTGAGGATTTCTCTTGGAGTCTGGCTGGTGTTTATCACTCTGCTAGGTAAGGTAAGCAATTTCATTTTTGGCTTTTAGCTTCTCCATGCGTCTCGGTTATGGCTACTTTCCTTCACCTCATTCCTTGTTGCTGTCAGCCTAATAGTCTTTGTGTACTGCCCATGTAGCCCTGCTACAGTGCTGCGTTGCAGTTAGTGGAAAAATTCCATGTATTATCTGATACAGGACTCTGTAGTAAAGTTTATTTCTGTTGGAGTTATGTGCTGACTGCATCTTTAGCTGTTTTTGGTTACTCCAGAGGTCTTTAATCAGAAGACTGATGTTAAGCTGTTTTTAAAATGTGTATCTGGCCATAGGAATTCTTTATGTCCAGTTTCTTCCATCACGCTAGATACTTGCTCACAAGTGGCTATTCTAGTCTTCCTTATTTGTGTCGTCTACTCACGCTCTAGGTATTGGGATGTCAGTAAATACGGGCTTATTTGTTGTATGTGTTTTAACAGTTAGTAAAAAATCCCAGAAGAGTAAACTTTGTTGAGAGGAGCAGATCCCATAGTAACATTAATGAGGTTCCAGACTTGCCTCAAAATGTCAGATGGTTTTCCATCTCACTTAAAAAGAGCAAACTTTTTTTTTGACAAAGTGGAAATATGTACTTGGTATTTTCCCTGAAAGGTGAAAAGTTCAGCAGTTCTGTTAAAAGACCTCATTAGGCAAGCTAATTAAATGTGGCTGGAGCAGAGAGCTCTCTATTTCTGGTGCAGAAGTTGACTTCTAGTTGGCTTGAGGATGTATCTCTATATCTTTTTACATGCCAGAAACTTTAACTAGCCACCAAAAGAAGTATAGCACCATTATAGAAGCATACCTATTGCAGAAGTTGGTTTGTTTTTAAAATGTTAATTTTACTGTCTTGCCTATTTTATTTAGTTTTTCTGCTGCGATCTCAGTGCCATCTTCTCTTGAGTTTGATTTTTCTCTGTTTTGTTTCTGTGTTTAGGCTGTACTAGCAAGAATGTAAGTTTTAACACGTTTCTAAGATACCAGGTCCACCTGTGATGATGCATATTGTAAATAAATGAAATTTACTTGATCTGCTATTGTTATTGCAAATTGTTATAAGCATCCACAAAGACTCATAAAGAAATGAAGCATTTCTGCAGACGCTACCTTTGGACAGTTTAGATATTTAATCTAGCTTTTCAACAAGAGGCCTTTTTGAACTAAATTTATATAGCAGTACTGTACCTTAACCAACATATTTCTGAGGAACTCTCTTGAATTTCAGTAAGTTATGGAAAATCCAAATTGCGTATATATTATAGTCTTTGGAGTTATAGATTGGAAAATGCATTTGTCAAGTATTTAAGGCCATGTGAGGCATCCACATAGAGGATATTCTTTGATGCCAGAGGTATAGTATAATAAAAGGATTATTGCACTAGCGTGTTTTGCTTTCTTACGTGCAAGCTTTTTTCCTCTTAGCTGTGATACCTGATTGCTAAAGCTTATTTCATGAGCGTTACCTATTTAATTGTGTTTAGGTTTGCAAGGAAAATCCAGATTGTAATTTACTTTCAGGAATAAAAGTTTTATGATTTCTACTGGCTGAGTAAGGGCAGGGGCTATCATGGTACATATTCCAAACAGGCAGTCTAAAGTCCTTGAGCTGCATCTCCACTCTACTAGAGTAATGTCCTGGGGACTCCTTTTGCCTCCCCAAATACCTCATGGGTTTGGAAACATAGCAGTGATGCAACCAAAGACTGTCAGTAGCAACCAACCTGAACCACATGTATGCTGGAATAATGTCTCTGAGATTTTTATCCATATTCTGTAGGTGATTACAAAGATTTAGTTGGCAGATGTTAGCTGTAGGGCATTTTGGCTCTCTGTAGTACCATAAGTTTGTGAAACGGATGAATTCCTCAGAAATAGAAGTGTCTATTGCACAAGTTTGCACAAAAACTTCGGTGTATTTGATTGTAGTTTCTGCCACAGGCAAAATTTACTGTCTTTTCAGTGTTTGGGATTTTCAGGTCTTGAGTTTCGCAGACTTTTTTTTTTTTTTCTTAGCATTGTGTATCTGCTTTGTCTTTCTGTAGGCAGGGTTATGATTTTGCATTATCTGTGGTACTGGCAGTGCAAAATCAAGTGAAATTTAATTATTTCTTCAAGTCTGGAACCAAAACCGAAAATAAAGTCCAATCTTAGGGCAAAGAAACGATTCTGCAAACTTGTGAAGAGATCAGATTTCCAGAGTTTGCATCAATCTTCAGTTCTTTTTAAATAGTAATCATTATTTTTTTAACTAGAAAGCAGAAAATTATATTATTTATTAAAGTGCTGTCTTAAAAGGAATTTTCTCTCCTGTAGAGTTCTGTACTTTCGAACTTCAAGACTAGCTTATCATATTTTAAAGTAAGTGTAAATAAAACTGAAGTAAAAATACAATAAAGTAAAAATCTTAATTGATTTGACATTATGGATTATTTCCACTTACTTACAAAGCTATTTGCATCCTATAATTATTATAACAAGTTTTTGGAGCCTTTAAAAAACTGTAAGAGCACAACCTTTAATCATCTTAGCTTATGTAATTAGGATATTACCCTCTATGACTTTTTTTCTCTTACCAGTGAGGTGATGTAAGAGATGCAAGATTTTTCTCAGTATTTTACAGTTAACATTAACTCATTAACATTATTATTCTGGATTTTGAAAGCATATCGAGGTCACTTATTGCCCTGGCTTTTTCTAGGATTTATCTGTCTGCCAGCAGTGTGTGGGAGTTGTGCTGGAAGAGTTTTTGAATGAGTCAAGCTTGGTTTTTATCACATCTGAAAGCAAAAATTTGAGTTGTTCGTGAAATTGATTGCAAACTATTTTACTGCCATAATTTTTAGGATAAGGGAGGACTTTTAAACTGTAATATCCTTAATAGTAGGCAATTAATAAGTAGATAAATTGGGAAGAGAAAATTTAGTTCAGTTTTTAACTGATTCACTTCTAGTCATTCTCTATCAGTGTTCCAGAAAAAGCATTAAGAAGGTGAAACCATTTCCTGTAATGCAGAAGAGGATAGAAAGATTCTTAGTAAAAATATTAACAGTTATAAATGTTTAATTTTTCAGCAAATTTATTAGTATACTGAAGATTTTTAAAAGTGCTTCTACCAGCGTATGCATTGGCACTATGATTTGCAGCATCAAGTTGGTGTAATTTTTTTTTTTTTAATGTTTGTTACAATAAGCAATGCTTGGAAAAAACCCCAGCCTCTTTGGTTGGTTAGTTTGGCTGAGTTAGCGTTCCTCCAGATCAACCAGCTCCTGAACTGCGCTGCATGATTACAAGCAATGAGATTTAGCACAAGAAAAATGACTGACTGGGAAGAGGGGGGAGGGAGAAGGTGTCTGGTTTTAGCAGGTGCCTAAAGTTAGAATGGACAAAGCTTAAGGGGAAACTGCAGTTCGAAATAACTGCATCCTCCTTTACTCTGAGTTGCATCAATGTTCCATGAACTGGCTGCTGATCCTCACAGCCTGTTTTCTGCCTTGTTATATCCCCATGGCAGACTGAATGGGGCCACCTGTACTGGTATTTCAGTAGCCTGCGTCTGGCGTAAAGCAAGATGTAGCTGTAACAAGATGGCACAGTTCTTGTCTGTAGCTTCTGTACTCCGGTTAATGCGTACTGGAAGCAGAACAGGCTATATCCCTTGGAGCTCTGCTTTCCTTTGCAGAGGATAAGGAAGTGGGGATCAGGGAAGCATGAGCATGCCTCCTTGTCCAAGTTCTTAAAATACAATTGTTTAAATCATAGCAGGGCCTTACACTGTGCGTGCATTCATATCAGCTACTTCAGGAGGCATTAATCTTAGTAGATATCCTTCAGTCACGTAGCGTAAGCTCCTGTAAGTCATATAATGTTCCCAAATGAAAGACACTAAAAGCTTCACAGCTTCTGGTCCATAGGAGCATATAAACGCTGCTGGGAACCTCTCTGGACAGTTCATTGAAAACTGCGTGCTTCAGGCCTGGATATTTTCCACCTCTGCACCTTGATATATTATTGCCTGTTGTGGTGCTTGAGGGAAAATGATACTGTTATTATTTGAAGGCCCTGGCATAGTTAATAGGTACTCACTACCTGCTTCGGTGCAGGAGAAGCACAGAGAACACTGCACTTAAAGTTACAGTGTCTGAGGATAGTTCTAAGGTTTAAGAACAAGACTGTTTGCATCACGTATTTTCCCATTTAGGGTAAAATTTAAATATACTGGTATGCCAGTATTTACAATTCTGTCTGCTTCTCCCAAACATTAAGGGAAAATTGCTATGAACAATCAAAGACCTTCTTATTAAAATAATGAAAGAGCTAATTCTGGATTAAGGAAGCAGTAGTATGAAGCTCTCAGCGTACAGATGATTTATTGTTAAATGTCAGTGATGACTGTCAGATGCAGGGAGTTACTTTAGGTTTGCTGAGGACTCCTTGGCCATCTTTATTACCTAGCAGTGGCGTTAATGGTTCATTAACACAGACCAGTCCAAGCCCAGATTCTGTTCCTGTTTGGGAGATCTAGGGAAGGTGTGTTACAATAAAACAAGTTGGACGTGGACCTATTGGAGCGGGTCCAGAGGAGGGCCATGAGGATGCTCAGAGGTCTGAAGCACTGCTATGAAGACAGACAGAGCATTGGGATTGTTCAGCCTGGAAAAGAGAAGGCTCTGGGGAGACC